GGACTTGTTAGATCACCTTGAAAAAACGAGAAGGGGGGCCGGGGAAGAAAAAGTGAATGAGATCAAGGAGACCTACGTTGCTGAGGGCTTGACGAAAGCCAGGAGGGAGGTGCAAGGGCCGCTTTTGTGCGCGCAGAGGTCGGAAGTTTAACGGGAAGCGCGGCCCGGAGGGGCTGCTCTTCACACAAAGGGTTTTCCTGGGCAGCGGGGCCGTTTCAAGCCGCTCTTGTGAACGGAAAGGAAGGGTTTCCCAAGCAGTTTTCAAGGTGTCCCTGACAGCACCGGCCTGGAGGGGACAAAGTGGTTTCACAGGGTCCCCGGGGGCTGTTTCCCTTGTTCCGCAGGGGAAAAAATTCTCAATTCTGGGATTCAGCAATACAGAGAGAGCCTCCACAAGACCCTATTCCAGGTGAAATGCAAAGCAGACACAGGAGTGAAGCTTGACCAGGCTTGTAGCCAACTTAACTGCAAACATCCTCTATACTAGTTCGAAGGTCAAACACCTGAGAGGGAGGGAGATGAGAAAGGCAGGATCCTCAGACTGACGCCTGGGACCACTTACTGGTATGCGCACCAGGGCGACCAGGAGGGAAGGTTATGTGACTGAAGGTGGAGTTTGTCCGCTCCCCGGTCTGCCTGCTGGCACGTACTGGCCCTACGTGGCAGGATGCACCAGGTATAAACAGACAGTGTGGAGAGAGTGGGGGGTGAGACTCCGAACACTAAGGCGCACGTTGTCTCCGTGGGGACGCCCGCCAAGTTAGGAGCCTGTCAGCAACCCTCTAATCTGCCAACTCGAGAGAATGTTCAGTCTCAGTGTCCTGCCGACAACCAGCGGAACTTACACACAGCTACGTGAGGTTGTGCCACTGGATAGAAATTGTGTTTGTGCTATCTGTGTCTGTGGTCTTAGATCTTTATTGTGTAATATATAATATATCTTAATATATGGAAATCCCAAGCAATTTCTGGGGCGGAAACCAAATTGAAGCTATGCAAACATAAATAGAAATGGAAACAGAGAACCTTCCAAGATGATTGGGACATCTTAATAATTGATTTAAAATATTGTTTCATCACCATACCATTGTATCCTGAGGACCATGACATAGTGGAACATATGAACCAAACGCTGAAACGCCAGCTACAAAAAACGAAAAATTGGCAAGAGCAGTATATGTTGACAGAAGTAAAGTCGGGTTTGTGTAAGGTGATGCTGAGAGACTGGAACATGGGAAAATGGACGGGACCCTTGGACTTGATAACCTGGGGAAAAGGGTATGCTTGTGTCGTTACAGATACTGGAACCAGATGGGTGCCAAAAAAATGGGTGAGACCTTGGCTGGAAGCAAACTTGCATACATCAGATGTAGCAGGCAAGCAGCCGGTACCCTAGCTGTGGAAAGTGTGAGCCTGCAGAAGAACAACATGGGAGGAAGAAGTGTTACTGTTATTATTCGCTGTATATTGTGGCTTTTAGGAGGTAATGTTGCTTTTAACGCTATTATAGAAGCTGATGTTACTTTTAACACTAATGGATGTTATGCTTCTTAGGCGTATTGTTAGTTATACCCAAATTAAGAGTTGTTGACTTTGTGGGACAGCAGATCAGTTTGATGCACTGGTGTTAGGTATTCCTCTAAGCAACTGGACAGACCTGAATACGGATACAATGAGCCGGAAAATAGCAGTTAGGCGACAAAAAAGTACAAAGGTTACTGTAAGCAGCGATTGCAATGATGATGTTGATTTATGGAGTGATTGGGAGGTGATAGTGACGTCTTTCTTCGGTCCTGGGCTATCAGCCACCTGAGCCCACAGAAATATCGAACACCTTGCATGCTGGGCAGTCAAGCAAGCAAACGCAACTAGTGTCGTGCTTAGTGAGTTGTCAGATGATTTAACCCAGGTACAACATGCTGTGCTGCAAAACCGTGCCGCTATTGATTTCCTGCTTCTTGCTCAGGTACATGGGTGTCAGGACTTTGATGGCATGTGCTACACGGACCTACAAGACTATTCTAAGGAAATCCACCAGCAGATTCAGCAGTTGATGGATCACACTAAGAAGATAAAAAACGACGTTGGCTTCTTTGGACTGGATGGGTTAACAGATCTGTTGGGTATTGGTGAGTGGCTCAAATCTTTGCTTAAGACAGGTTTAGTGCTTTTGATTGTGATGCTTTTTGTCTTGTGCTTGTTTAGCTGTGCTTTCAAATGTGTTAGACGAATGTTACTTTCTATTGCCAATCAGGCCTTGCTGGTGCAAAAGAAAAAAGGGGGAATTATAGAGAAACTGTTAGAGAGCCATGGGCATGGCTGCCCAGCAGGCCTGTTCAATCTGGGGCTTTTGAGCTTCAGTGAAAGCACAAAGGGACTGCTGACTAGGGGATAAGGAAGTAGCACAAGGTCAGAGGAAACAAAGAGCTGTTGAACTAAAAGGATGAGCTAAACAAGTAAGGAGGGGCTGTAAGGGTCTTAGTTACATCATTGTCTACCAATTAGGAGCCTGTGTAGTTACATTACTAATTACCAGAATCATATAAATGTATTACATGCAAGCTAATAAATGGAGCAAGATCTAAACTCATATTGAGCGTGCGTCTTGTAACCCGGCTCGGCTCCTGGAAATCCTGCGCAGCTTTCTGCACTGAACCCAACATCCCTCTTCCTCTAATATGTCACTTATTTTCCATAGACTCTATGCTAAGTATTCTAACTTTAAAGACTTTAAAGATATGAGAATATCTCTTATGGTAAGAGGAGATTCCCACACTTACAATGATGCCTGCGAGGGAAAGCACAGGATACAACAATGTGATACAACATTAAGACATTTCAAGGTCATTCTTAAGATTTCAATATTTTAATAAGAATAATTCATACAAGTAACTTGCTTCTATACATTCATAGAGTACAAAAACTTCCCTGTCTATAGGTGCTAATGCTCAGACTTAAATATATCTACAAACTCTTTACATTGGTCATTGGGAATACTGATCTTCAACAATAACATCGTGCTTGAATAAATATTTCTAATATAACCTCTTGGAACTGTTCTCTTAAAAATCCCTTTTTGTATATTAAGTTATAATTTTATGGTAACATCAGACATCCCTGTAAGATTTAAAAATAGCTTTGTACCACAGTTGGGGTATCTATTGCTTTGCCAACCCTTAAGCCTTGGAATGGGCTATAACAAGGCTTGATTGTGCTTATATTTACAAGCAATCTTTCAGTAAGCTCTTCTAAAGGCTTCAGATGAGAATGTTTCTGTGGAAATACCACTTCCATATTTTCAAATAAGGAGAAACCAAAAAGCAAAACAGAAAAAATAATCAGAAAAGCTGCAGATTTTCATATGGTGGCATTAGGAAACCAGCCTTTAGTCCGAGAACTTAACCATTCCAGCAAGTTGCTCTTAACAGCTGCTTCCAAAAGCAGAAGTTGGCTCAATTAAATGTTTCTCTCTCAGTAAAAACTATTTGAGAGACAGCTCTCCTGATTTTTTTTCCATCAGGAAAATACAACACCCACATGAGTACTCCAGCTAGGTAAACCTTAGGTCAACCACAATAACTTCGCTGACACTCGAGTTGAACTCACGCAAGACAGACAGCTGGCCTTCAGGAATTGCACAAAGTGCTTAGCATGGGCAGAAAGTGCCTCAGAGTTTTTGCCTGTACAACAGCTTTCCCAGCCACTGGACATGACTGGGGGGAGCAAGGGTTTAATTATTCCTCAGAAAGGGCAAGTATATGTAAAAAGATCATCTTGTTCTGTCAATGAGAAATGCCCAAATAGAAGCAGGATTCTCCTAAGGACTGATGTTTGCGGAATCTAAAGTCAGTGGATGATGGAGAGCGCTGTGTGAAGCTAAGGATACTAATCAGGAAAAGCCTTTGAACTATGTTTACTCATAACCTGTGCTCTTAACACCTGCCTTGTTTGAGACAGTTAAAAAGACACTAGCCTAAAAATGCCACTCTGCTCCACCACAGTTTTTTTGACAAGATATTCAGAATTTGGGAACTAGACTTCTCAATTATTTACATATTTTTATTTCTTTACTTACATGAGCACTATCATCTCCCACTGGCAACAACCCACCCCTGGAAACTCTTATACCATCTAAGGAAACTCAACAGCAAAACAGCAATTAGCCTTTCCCCACCAAAGTATTACTGATCTAAAAAGAAGTCAGCAGTTCTGAACAATGATTTTTAAGCGATGGTGGAGAACACAGTGCTGCTGATGTACTTGGACCAATAGAAAACTCTTTATGTATGTTTTAACAAGAAAAGCTGTCTTTCTACAAGATTTGTTACTCTACCTTTTTCGGGAGAGCTCAAATACTACTTTTTGTAAAACACTTTTGCAAGACAGATTTTGACCTCTAATGCCCAAGTTTTACGAGGCTAGAACAGTTAGAGATGAGGCCTGTCTGATTAAGTGTCGAATTGCACCAAGTTTTACTTGCCAAGTTTACTTACCAAGTTTTACCAAGTTTGCAGCAATACCATCAGCTGTACAGACCCAGCACTTTGCTTCCACTTGCCTCGATTTTACTACTAAATAATCAGAACTCATAGTACTAAGTCTCTCAAAAGCTTGCTCCCGGTTCCATTTCCAAAGAGGGAGTTGTTTTACTGCTTGGATCTTTGGCAAAAGCAGAGATAAACCAACATTTCCTGAAACGTAATTTAGCATTTCTTTTTTTTTTTCTTTTTAATGTACAAATTTCTACAAGGGAAATTGCAAGTAATCTGACTAAACTACTGAGCCAAGAACTCAACATCATTTCTCTTGACTCTACATGTGTTCAGTCAAATCAATTGCAAATCAAACTTATACCTTCTTTATATACGGATACACCTTCTTTATAACCTGCCTTAATCTAAGTGCTTCTTTTTCCTGCAGACCAGCTAGCGCAGGCCACATCATCTCAACTATGCCAACTTCCAACCCCCTCCATTCCCTAAGAAATAAACTTACTGGGATTTTTGTGTCTTCCACCATCATTATGTTATAGGGATCTAAACTTATTCCAGACAATAAAATCAATTTGTATTTGGTGTTATTCTACCCTACCTTCAGGAGATGGCACTATACACACTGAGTTGAATAATGAATTTTGGGAGGAAATTCAGGAAAATCCTGTGGATGCCATTTACATCTAGCCTTGTTTCCCTTTTATAGCTTCTCTTAGTTCCCTCAGTAGGCTATTGGCAAAGTCAAAGGACTATACAAAGGGGACAGCTTAAATTGGATTTGTAAATATCAAATTATTCCATATTCACCAAAGCATGAAGCTGCGGCTGGATAGAGTCTGTTTGTGTATGTAGCACTGTCAGCTCACTTAAGGTGGTAGCTATAAGGGCTTCTTGGGGTCCTGGAGTCCCATCTGACTTACAGTCTGTCCCTGTGTTAGAACCACTATCATGCAGTGCAGTCACACTCCCTGGGACAGCAGTCAAGTTTTGATAGTGGCCATTTTCAGAGAAAGACAGCAGCTTCTCTGGTATTTTAGGTGATACATCATATTCTTCATCAGGAAGCTCTGTTTTATGACCTTCATCATTCTTAGATGCTCCTTCCACAATGACAAGAAAGGACTTCCATGGGGTGTTTTTATCATGGATCTGAAAACAAAACAAAGTTTGAACGTACAATAACTGCCCGGCAGGCAAAAACTTGAACCCAGGTATGTGAAGAAAAGCTTTCCTTTCCATCCCACACAAGAATTCCCAAGCTAGTATGGTATACATCAAGGTACTAACCAGTATCCCTGGTGGGTTTCCTTCCTCTCTTTTCCTAAAGCATCAAGCTGACCCAGCAGAGAGTCTGGCCCAGAAAGGGAAGTCTTCCCAGTTTCATCAGGAACAAACCTGAGACTGAACACTCTCTGGGTGTGACCTCTGCCATAACAGATTAAGAATGGCTTTACTTCAGAGACAGGACATAAACCCTTGCAATACTTTTGTGCTAATTTAGGCAAATGAGTTTGTGCTAAAACCAACATGAACTGCAGAGGAAACCCTCTTTCAGGCCTGTCAACATCCTTCACAAGGAACAAGGCTCTAAAGCTACAGGTTCTTACTGAAGTGTGTCGTCGCAGGGTGGACTTGTCAGTAAAGGTTCGCCCACATGCGTTGCACATGAACGGCTTCTCCCCAGTGTGTATTCGATGGTGACGCTGCAGCGCATTGAGCTGCGTGAACTGTTTGCCACACTGGTCACAGCAATACGGCCGCTCGCCTGCAAGAAGGGCACAATATTAAACTGATCACGCAGATAACTCCTAAACTTCACTAAATAAGGCAAGCACAAGCATCTTCAGAAAGCACCAAGATGCTCTCAGAACTCTGTCAGATATGTTTTGACACATCTAGAATAAACAGCTACTTATAGCTTAAGGGCTGGATCCACAGCCTGCATAAATCTTTGCAAGTACTGAAGCCTTCACATTTTTTGTATATATTTTTACGTCAGCAACTCAACTGCTGTCTTATCAAAGTATAAATTGCTGTAGTGCTGAATAATGTGGACTTTGGAAAGAACAGGAAAAAAAAAGGAAAGAGAAAGCATAACTAAGATTTCAAGAGGACTGAAATTTAGAGCGAGCACTAGAAACCAGAGTTCTATTCCTCTATAAGGAACAGGGTAAGGGGATGGTAAAATTGGTATAACTGCCAGGGTTTCAGATAGTGAAAACAACTGTTCTCCCCTCCTTCCAACACTGATGCAAACTTATGTGCTTCAGCTGGCACTACTTGGAAGTCAGTGTTATTGCCCTATAACCACTGTTTTCAGTTCAAAAAACAGAGCAGCAGGCAGGAATGAAACAGACTGAAAACTATATCTAGGTGGGAGAGAAGGCAAACATGAAAGGACAAGCAGGTTAAAAAAAAAAAAAAAAAACACACAGCTCTCTGTACTTCTTTTCTCAGAGATAAAATATAGATTTTAATCACTAATAATCCTCTGATTTCTTATAACATTACACAGAATCACACAGAATCACAGAATGGTTAAGGTTGGAAGGGACCTCCAGAGATATCTAGTCCAACCCCCCTGCTCCAGCAGGGACACCTAGAGCACATGGCACAGGATGGCTAGTAATATCTGCACAGGTCTTGGAAATACTCCATGTCACTTATGTCACTGCTGTGAAAGTAGGCAAAAATATAAGGAGCACCAAGAGAAATACACTGCATCAAGAATAAAAACCTGCACACAAAATAGAGCTAAAGAAACGGAAAATCCTAATTAAAAAAATTCCTTGTCTGTGTTACAAAACAGAGATGTATGTCTATAAATCCTGATGTCTTGTTTAAAAAGAAAAAAAAAAAAAGAAAAAAAAAAGGCTCCTACCTGTGTGAACTTTAATATGCTGGTAAAGTGAATTTCTCTGTGCAAACGTTCTGAAGCAAACTTCACATTTAAATGGTTTGGATCCAGTATGTATTCTGTTATGGTGTTTCAAGTACTCCTTCGAGGCAAAGCTTTTCCCGCACGTTTCACACATAAAAGGTCTTTCCCCTGCAGCAAGGGCAAAGTGGAAGAGTCAAGCTAGCATTTGAGAATGCTATTAAACATAAGACACAAAAGCTGAAAACTTTGGATACAAATAAACCGCAGGCCAACTTCAAAAAAGGATCTGAAAGGAACACAGTAACAAGGACCTCTGCATAACACACAGAATTTTCGCACAATAAATCCATACAAAATACTCATTCTACAAGGATAACCATAACTATCTAAAAGGACAGCAACGTCTCTACATATTTTGAACAACAGCCCAGTGAGATCTTTGAGTCTTCTCCATATACTTGGGCTATTCTGTCTCACTCTCATCCTGAATACAACACTGCACTCCTCTGATGAAAGGCCTCCACTTGAAAAAAAAAAAGCAATTTTAGTAAAAAGGTTCTGAAGAAGTCTTCTTACTAAAGAATTTCATTGTAATTTAAAGTTTCCTGCTAGCTGCATTTAGGTACGTATCACGGGCATAATGTGGACGCTTCTAACTACAGGTCAATTAGAAATGCAGAAGTACCCAACATGACCGCTATGAATGGCCAACTCAAAACACCAATTTTGACTTCAATGTATACTCTGAAGAAGAAGATGTGCTTTTTGAAAAAACAGTATTTGCAATCAGGATGAGCCAAGAGAACTGTTACGCACTTCAAGCTTACAGAGAAATTATTCTTCTGTCAGGATTTCAGCTAAAATTTCTACCATCAGTCTTATTTTCGAAAGTACTCAAACAGCTTTAAATTAAAGAGAACATAAATGTAACAACTTGAAGATTTTTTTCACTGCACAGAGTAATATTAAAGAAAAAGAGGATTTTCTAGAAAAATACATCTACTTCATAGTCTAGTGGGATATGGGTACCATGAATGATACTGCGGTTATTTCTCTGAAAACTAATTAATGTTTTTAAGGAAATATTAAGTAATTTTTGCTTTTCTTAAAAAATCTAGTAACCTGGATCAGAAAAAAACCCCACCATTTTACTACTAAAAACTGTCAAGAGCTGTCATTTGGATTCTTAAAAAAAAAAAAAAAAAGAAAAAGAAAAAGAAAAAAAAAAGAAAAAAAGAAAAAAGCCTTACCTGTGTGACATCTTTTGTGATAAATAAGCATGTGATTCTGAGTAAACCTGGCACCACATTCATCACAGACAAAAGGTTTTTCACCAGTATGGATTCTGAAACAAGAAAGTTACAATAAAACACCAAGGAAAGTGTCTCTTGTGCAGCACAACGCAAGTTACTTTGTGGCTGTTCTCTAAAAAGGAAACCAGGCATCTCCAGATTCTTTTGTCTTTTAAAAAATAATTTCAACTAGGCCCACTTCTGCATCATGGTTTATGCAACGCTGAGTTTATTTTAATGTGCTGGATAATCAAAGCATATGCAGTTTTTTCTTAAAGCCAGAAAAATGAGTAAAGGTTAGAAAACTTACATGTGAACAGAGGGATTGAAAGAAAAAATTTAACCATTTTAGGATCTTAAATAAAGTAACTATTTTTATATAGTGACATTATCAATAAAATATTCCACACAGAATATGACTGGTGTGTTCCCTGGCCAGATTAGCATGGCATCTCTTCTGCAGGGTTATCAAGTAGAAAATTCTTCAGTGGCTACAGACATTTTTCTTACTTTCACCCCAAGTTTGAGGCGAGATCTCCTAGGGAAGGCTATGTGTTCATCTCCTCTATCAAAAGGTTTCAGCCTATGCAAACTTCAGGAATCTTTCACACAGCGTCACAGACAGACAACATACAGGCCAGATTCATGGTAATACGTCAAGAAAAGGAGCTTAGACATAAAAATACGTATGAAAGATGAGAAATTCTCACCAAAAACAGTCATGATATGCAAGTTAATAATACTGAATATCTAACGCTTAAGAAACAGGCTTAGGAAATATTCCTAGTGGTACACAAGGAAAGAGAACTGTACCCTTAGTTATACCAATAAATTATCTGTAGGAACCACAAAGCAGTCACGTAACCTTAGAAAAGAACACTTGATGAAAAAGATTTCATACAGCTGCATCAGCAATAATACATGAACATTCCAGCTGAAGTTTGCTTCTAGACATGCTTTTTGCCACTGGGAGTAAATCCATTGACTTCAAAAGGGCTAGTGAGGCAAAGCAGTGCTTAATGAACTCTCTGTACCTTACAGGAAATGCAATCTAGGAATATGACACTGCTGCATTCTCTGTTTGGATCTGAGAAATATTAAGTCTGAGATATTGCTTCTATATCTCTCTCTCTACACTTACTTTATGTCTACAGTCCACACTTTGTTTTCAGATCACTGCTTTGGTAGTCAGTACTGCTCAACACCTGACAGGATCAAGCCCTGCATGAATTTTCGCATTCATAAAAACGTATCTCCCATGAACTTCCAAGATCACGTCTTTGCACTTCCAACTTCAAGCCTCACAGGAGGCTCCCAAGTGCTACAATTGAATTCACCAGTTCTGCCATGGCTACCCTCTGTGCTTCCTTCGCCTCCACCAGACAGGTCTGTTTTGAGCCAAATTCCAGTTGTTTTCTATGCTTAGCACACCACATCTGGTGTTCTTGGACCCAATATATGGCCAATTCTTTTCATATTTTCATACTTACTTCAATACATTTTTCTACTAAACTTAAGAGATATCAGATGAGCTGAAAACACTACAGACCCATTCCTACAAATCGCTCAGCACAGCAGCCCTTCTCATGTGAACAGTCCCACTGATTCTTAATAGGTCTGTTCCCACGAGATAAGTTAACTTTGCCATTTTACTGTATTAGTAGGATTGTGGCCTGTGCACCTTCACTTTGGCTTAGAGAGAAATACATCAACTCCCTTATTTTAAAAAGGAGGAAAAAAAGTGTCATGGTAAAGATAATACTGAAACATTTCTGGTCAGTGATGTTTTAAATCCCCACTTCATTGGAAGGCTCAAGATGTGTTCTGGGGGATTCTGCTTCTCCCCCCAGAATCTAACAAGTCCAGTTAAATCTGTTCATACCTCATGTGTGTTTTAAGTGCAGAAGGCTGAGAAAATTTAGCCTCACACTCTGTGCACCCATAAGGCTTGTCGCCTGTATGTGTCCTTTCATGAAGCCTCAAGGCAGTTTTGGAGCTCAACCCCTTTCCACATTGTTGGCACTGATGACGCTCCCCACCACCCTCATGAACCTGGAGAATGTGCCTCTTGACGTCCTTCTTCCTCTTGAACTTCTTACCGCAGAGCTCACAAGGGAAGTGGCGCTCGCTGCTGTGGACATGGCGCTGATGGCTTTTTAAGTTGCACCGGTTGGCAAATGTCTGACTGCAGGTTTCACACCGGTAAATGATTTCGGCTGCAATGCCATGGCTGTGTTTTATGTGCTTGAGAAAACTTTTCTCATATAGGAACTCCTTCTCACATGTGCTGCATTTGAAGTTGCTGCCTCGTTTCTTTTTATCCTCCTCAGACTTTTGCAGGTTTTCCTCCGATTCAAAGTTGCCATCACATTCCTCACTTTCTGGTTTAATGTTGTTTTCCACTTGTTCTTCCTCCCTCTCTGCATCACATGTGCTGTGGTCTTGTGGGTATCTGTTGGTATCTTCCACAGTAATCTCTGCATTCTTTTGCTGTTCTCTCAGCCGCCTTGTGTATTTCTTCTTAGGGATTTCTACAAATACTTTCCTGCCAGCCAGCCTCCCACTTGCCCTCCTGATTTTGGCATAGGGAGGCTTCATAATTTCTTTCGTCTTGTCCATTTTCTCTTTTGATTTGGCAGCTGGCATCTCCAGAGCCACTCTATTGCTAGGCCTGCCTACTGGGGAGTCTGGAAGATCCACAGGACAGTCTGCCTGGTCACCTTCTGCCACAGAAGTTGCTTTTGTCTCAAGCAAAATGCTTGGCTGGGAGACACTCTCTTCTTCGGAGCTCTGTGATTCGGAGAAGTTTTGCAACTCTAGCAGCACTGATTCAAGCATCTGCTTCTTTAATTGGAAGCAGGTTTCTGAGAGGTCCAAGCACTTCAGCTTTTCAGCTATTTCCAGCATACGCTGCACTCTGTCTTCCTCCACTTCTACCTTAGCAGTATAGACAAACTCAAGAAATGAAGCAAAATCAGCAACCTGGACCTCATTCAAGAACACATTGGTTCTTGGGCCATCCATGCTCTTCTCATTAAGAAACATCTCCTTGAAAAATTTGCTCGTTGCTGCCAATACAGCTTTGTGAGCGACAAATTCTGCCCTGACACCTTGGTACTCGACACTAACTGTCACATCACAGAGGTGGCCGAGGAGACGCAGCTGATGCATTTCGTTCAGAAGGTTGATAGGAGAGGACTTGGATTCCAGTAAAACTGCATTACTTTCCATCTTTCTTCTCTCTGAAAAATAAAAACAACCTGTCAGCAACATCACACATTAGCAATTTGCCATGGAAGTAACAAAATGCAAAGATTTTCACAGCCAAAAGTATGTCCAGACTTTTGAGAATGCTTCACTAGACGGCTAGACCCGTAAGGTGCTTGAGCTTAACTGATCACACTCCCAAAGGAGCACTTAAAAAAGGCTGTCTAGAAATGCAGAAAGATTTTCAGAAGTGTCACCTAGCGCGGTAATATTTAACAACGTGCTGTCAGCCATATGATTAAGTTTCTTAGAAGTTAATTTGACTTTAAATCTTCACTGTAGATTTAGCTAAGGCACTAGAGAGAGACTATCAAGACAAATAGGAAGACAAATGTTCTCATCAAGGCACACGGAATTAAGAAATTATTCTCTAATAAGATGATAAGACAAAGGGAAGAAAAACTGAGAAGCCCAAATAAATGCTTCTTTAGAGAGACATTTGAGATAAGCCTTTTAAATGAGAATTGGATAAAATTCTAAATGTTTCACCTTCAGGAGGATAGGAGAATGCATAATTATATCCTCAGGTTGCAAATCTAAGAAATCACAAGACTCCTCCAAAGTGTCTTTTATTTAGTTTTGTTTTAATTCATCACTCAATGAATGAATAGTATCTAACTTTTTGAATGTCCATTTGTATGCTACAAAGGCTTCATCCTTTTCACTACTCTTCAGATTATGTTGTACTTACAAGCGATATTTTAAGTTATTTCAAATTTCTCACAGCTAAAGTTTTTTTATTATTATTATTTTTTCTTTCTATGTTTGATCCCACAATAACCAATATTTCTGTTCTGTTCTCAAAATATAAACAATATTCTGAGGAAAGTCCACGCAAACTCTTTTTTTGAACATACTCAGTTTTATTGTGTTCACAGGAACTACATCCATTTTGAATATGAAGAATTTATTTCTCCTTTCCAAAAGTTGCCTACAGTCTATTTTCTTTATACAATCTCTCCTACAGAAGACTTGAAGCCTATAAATATATACATATACATGATACATTAAAAATCTTGTTCAGAAGATTTAAAAAAAAAAAGTAGCACATGAATGGAACAACGTTTATACTAAAATAACATTAAGGGAACAGTTTTAAGTATGAGAAAGAGATACGAAAAAGTTGATGGCATCAGAAACAACAGATCATTTTTTTACTCTGATACTCAACATTGACTTTTTGATTTGTCGAAATGATTATGGAATAAAACTTGAATTTAAAGCAATCTCACATCCTAATACAATTTTCTGTTAAAAAGAATTTTGATACAAGATTTATGCGGTAAAATACCCTACTTCATGGTAATTAGTAGTAGTCAAACAAAATGTATGCTTGATGAATTTGATTCTACACTAGTCAAATACTATATGGAGCCCCTGATCTAAAGAGCTTTATAGAAGGAGGGCAGATGAGATACAATGTAAGCAAGAAAGGATTACCCAATGTTGCACGTGAAGAGTCCATTCACCTCTTGCCCATGCTAGCTCAGAGCACAACAAACATGCTAGATTATTATCCGTTTTGGCAAATGAAATCCAATTCTACACTTCCCAGTTCTGACTGGAATTTCATATGACCAGGAATGACACGATTTGACTCCTAACTGAAAATCTGACACTTCTTAAAACGTAATGAAAGAAAAAAGAGTCTAAACTTCATTTCCCTTTCTCTGTATTTACCCAGATATTTTTCCTCCCAATCAAACAACACATTGGCATGTCTTTTGAGATGAATTAAAACAAGATCAACTCTTTCATTAAAGCATTTAATGATATAATAACTCTTACACTTTTTTTTTTCTCAATACTATCTCCTTAAATGATGAGTTAATGTTTATCACATTAACTCATAATATCCATCTATTATTTTTATTTGAACAAACGCAAAAGCTGTGGTCACATAGAGACAACAGGGATCCCTGGTAAGAAACAAGAATCCAAACCACAAACTTCCTAGCTCTGCCTAACAAGCTATTAGTCTCAGAGGGTGATAACAGACAAGTGTTAACAGATGCATGATGCCAGTACATTTTTATTAACTACAAAGTAGAGGCCTCCTGCCCTTCCCACAGTGGTATTTAAAGCAGCAGAAACCATTGTAGAAACACATCACTTGCACCACTAGACTCATTTTGGAACCTGTTCAAAGAAGAAACAGTAATTCAGCACATCCAGTAAGATATACATTGCAGTGCAAAGACTTTTTAACCCTATTCATGCCAGTGGCAAGTGCACTAGTGAGCTGAGCCCTGGAGTGACAGGATCCCACCAACAGAACTGTATTTATTCACCCTAAATAAAATAAAAAAGACAAGCCCTGAAAACCTGCAAACTGGGCCTGCTTACGCAGACGAGCCTGCAGAACCAGCGTTCACATAACAGTGATCCTTGCTCACCAGCAGTGCTCATCGGCTGTGACCAGCTGAGAAGACACCAATAAATCACGTATAACCAGATCTATAAGCGCTGGTAGCGCCGCTCCCCCCGCACTGGTAGACGAGGCTGCCGCACACG